AGAATATTCTGATTATCATAAAAAAATATAGCCAGTTAAGCATGAAGTAGTAATAATCTAATCAATGATCAAGAATGATTTAGAATCACCAGATGCTTGCCTCTGCTTTTGATTTAAAGGTAATAATACTGACACACAGATATAAGTTGTTTTTTGCACATTTTGAGGTTGGGGTCATCCAAACACAATTATGTAGATCATCTGGCACCCAGGCAAGATGATGCCAAGAACCAAAATAGACCACGATTAGGGATGATGCTGAAGCTTGCACAAGAGCCAACTAGAGGTGTCTATGATCTCTAGCCCTTCACCCTTAATTTTTGTATTTAAAAATGCATGTTTGAAAGCCAATGAGGAGCTTGGGTTTTTTCAGCATTAGCTGCCCCTGCTCCAATTACTTGGCCTTGTAATTAAATGCCTATTTCCCTGGGCCGGCCCGTGGCTCACTCGGTAGAGTGCGGTGCTGATAACACCAAGGCCACGGGTTCGGATCCCATATAGGGATGGCCGGTTAGCTCACTGGCTGAGCCTGGTGCTGACAACACCAAGTCAAGGGTTAAGATCCCCTTACCGGTCATCTTTAAAAAAAAAAAAAATGCCTGTTTCCCTATTGCAACCTGGCATCAGTATCTTGGCTTAGCTGTGCATGGGTGGGCGGACCCAAGTTTGCTTCATGTATTAGTCCATTTTTGTTGTTTATAACAAAATACCTGCAACTGGGTGATTTATAAGAAAATAAAATTCATTGCTTATGGTGTCTGCGGCTAGGAAGTCCAAAGTCCGGGGAACACATCTGGGAAAGGCCTTCTTTGGTGGTGATTTCAGTGACTATTTCCCTGGGCCGGCCCGCGGCTCACTCGGTAGAGTGCGGCGCTGATAACACCAAGGCCACGGGTTCGGATCCCATATAGGGATGGCCGGTTAGCTCACTGGCTGAGCCTGGTGCTGACAACACCAAGTCAAGGGTTAAGATCCCCTTACCGGTCATCTTTAAAAAAAAAAAAAATGCCTGTTTCCCTATTGCAACCTGGCATCAGTATCTTGGCTTAGCTGTGCATGGGTGGGCGGACCCAAGTTTGCTTCATGTATTAGTCCATTTTTGTTGTTTATAACAAAATACCTGCAACTGGGTGATTTATAAGAAAATAAAATTCATTGCTTATGGTGTCTGCGGCTAGGAAGTCCAAAGTCCGGGGAACACATCTGGGAAAGGCCTTCTTTGGTGGTGATTTCAGTGACACATTGTATCACATTGCAAGATGGTAGAAGCAGAAAGAGAGCTCCTCATGTACTCTCCTTTTAAAGTCTTCAGAATCATGCCCATGACCACCATTAAACCATTCACTATGGCAGGGTCCTCACAATCCAATCACCTCTTCAAGGCCCCACCTGTCAATTACTATAAGTATTTCCCGCCCTCTTAACACTGTCACAGTGGAGACCAAGCCTCAAACACATTAAACTTTGAGGGGACACAGTTCAATCCACTGCAGTTCAGTAACAATTTTGGCACTCCAGGTGGGACCCTAAACCCCAAGAGGGGTGTCTTGCTTATGGCATATTGACCCCATGGCCAGCAACTGCTCTTGGAAACTGCCCAGCAGCTGCCTGAGTCTCGTCTCAGGGACAGTCCCAAGCTGTCTGCTCCTGATCGGGTGCCAGTGGTCCTCAGTGTGTTTTGATTTTGCAGTGGGAGAAATAAGGTACTTCGTTTGACTTAGATATCCTGGGTAAGTGCAATTCATTGCATTGAATTTGCATGCAATGGCACCAAAGTATTTTCTGTTTAGACACTTGGTTTGCTTTGACAGAATGTTTGTTTTTAAGGTCTTAAGAGCTGAAGAGAATGAGACGTTGAGAAGCTGCATTTGAATTGTTTGGGATTTTGATAACTTGTGAGGTAGCTTTTGGGATTCGTTAACTTGCTTTGTTTGACTGACTTTGTTTGGGAACTGGCCATGATAAATAACTTGCAATGGGAAATAAGAGCTGTATTCCATGATGTAGTCCTGTAGAATGCAAAATTAGGAAGTTTTTTAGTTGCAAACCTATGAAAAAGAAAAGGATGGTGTTCTATTGTAACACAATGTGGCCACAATACTCCCTAGGATCTGGAAATGTTGGCTAGTTAATGTGTCCCTAAATTATATCACCATCCTCCAACTGGAACTCTTTTGTGAGGAGGAGGAAAAATGGGATGAAATCCCATACACGCAAGACTGTGCTTTTGTATCAGAATGAAACTCTTCGAAGGAAATGTAATTTATGCCTTTTCTTCATATTGGTCTAAATTTGTCAGTGATTTTTATTAATGAGCTTTCAGAGATGAAGAAATAGTTTTTCCTTGGCCCCTACAGTCATGGCACTGTAAGCAGGATACCAAGGCCACTCTGCTCTTCTGGAAGCTGCAGCCAAGGGAGACTAAAGCTTGAAAACCGGCAAAATGGTAAGTTTTTTTTACCTGTCAGGCTCCCGGGTTCTTTCTCTCTCTGTAGATCCAGTCAAGCAGACAATAAAGATCATTGTCTCTTTTTCCAAAAGTTTTGGTTAGTAAGAAGAAAAGGATTTGTATGACTAGTCGGAGGTGTAGTGACTCTGGTATAATGAGTCGCTATTACAATTGGGTACTCTGTTGGGGGATCCCGACTTGTCCCTGGCCAAACGATGAATCCTTTGAACAGGCTATATATATTTTAGAGAACTCGTGTTTTAAACAGCTGTCTTATAGATACCTATGAAAATATTAATATAACAACTGGCCTTAAAAACTTTCTTGGCAAGATTGAGAAATAGAAACTATGGTCCAGAAGGTTATAATTGGCTAGATCTCTGGACAAAACTTGCCTATCTGCATGTGCAGCTAGCTAATCAAGAACTGAGACTGTCTTAGAACTTAAAATGTCCTTCACAAAAAGTTAAAGAGCCAGGAAAAATTATTGAAAATATTTTATGCTGAAAAATTGTTTGGCTTAGCACACTTATCTTGCAGGCAAAGAAAGGATGTGCCAATTTCAGATGGCAAAGTTTATTTAGAAACACTGTATATAGAACATTCTGCTGAGCTTGTTACCAAAATTCAAGGCCACTTGGAAATTTTGTTTTTCTTATACAATTAAGTAAGTCCTAACTAAAATGTAAACACTGAAAATTTAACCCTAAACTCATTTAAAACTGAGAAAGAAAGAGAAAAAAAGGTAAAAAGGTTTTTCTTTAAAAATCAGACTGCTATAAAAGATGCTTTACCCAAAATATTGTTCATAGCCTTTATTAGATTACCTGTCAGGGAAAATAAAGTTTAGCCGTATGAACAGGTCCCATTTTGATGGAAAAATAATTTAGATCTGACTCTCTTTTATAAACTGGTGAATATAGAATAAAAAATAAAAATGTTTTCAAAATTGTCAGCATACATTTTTGCCTGAGTTTACTGGTCAGACAGGATCATATTTGTCTCTGTTAGATGTTTTAAGGTGTCAGGGTTTGACAAAAAGTTTAAAACTATAAATCCACCCTAAAACAAAATGATCTTTGATTATGTAAGATAAATGAGACTAATTTAATATTGTTTGTTTAATAAAAACAGCTATATCTTCTGAATTATTGACAAAATGCCCATATGCTTAACTTTGAGGTTCTTACTTAGGCTATAAAATGGTGTACAGGAAAATAACTTAAAATGATGACTAGCCTTGTCTAATATCTCAGTTTTTATAAATAATCTAGGTGTAACTGTTAAAAATAAATAAATTAGGTAAATGCAAATGTGATAAACATTTATAAATAAACTTTTAATGTAAATTATGTTATATTAAATTAAAATGATATTCATTAAATGTCTGAGTCATTTCCAAATAAGATAAAAAACCTGAAACATAAATGAGCGTAACATAAACAAGTTTGTTCGTGGCTTTAACTTACGTAGGAAGTCTAAATACATTTGGGTCTCCTAATACACATAAAAATTAAGGTTATGGGAAAACATGTTTCTAAATTTATAAAAAGGTTCTTATCTATAAAATACTAATATGTGTATAAGTTCAAAATTGCTTGCTTTCTAGGTTTTCACTAAAAATTAGGGTTACTAAGAATTAGACAGTCTAATTAATATATATAATTCTGTATATTAAATGTACCAAAAAAAGTAAGGTAGTTACATGTAGCTACTGAGGAACTGAATTTTTAATTTAATGTAATATAAATTTAAAAACTCACGGTTCAGTCAATATAAAACTTTTAAGACCATTCGGAAAAACTTAAGTATGTGAATCTACTACTTTAGTTGCAAATTTTATGAAATCTGAATACAGATCAAGTATTTCCAATTAAAATTTAATATACAACTTGAGATGTGCTATAATCTCTGTCCTACCTTCTCAAGGACAATGGATGAAATCAATATCTATTAAAAGGAGTAAAAATGTTAAGTGGTGCAAAATGGATTTGGAGCCCCAAATTTGGGGATTTTCTTGTGGTGCTCTGTAATAGTAACGGCCCCCCAAAGATGTCCACACCCGAATCCTTGGAACCTGTGAACATATTTCATTTTATGGCAAAAGGGACTTTGCAGTTGTTATTAAATTAAGAATCCTGAGATGGGGAGATTATCCTGGGTTATCCAGGTGGGCATAGTGTAATTGCACAGTTCTTAAAGGGAGAGGCAAGAAAGTCAGAGGGAGAGAAGGCGATGTGAAGAAGGAAGCAGAGCGAGAGATTTAAAGATGCTACACTGCTGGCTTTGAAGATGCACGAGTCATTAGTTAAGGAATGCAGGCAGCCTCTAGAAGCTGGAAAAGGCACAAGAAAGGATATCCTCTAGAGCCTCTGGAGGAGTGCAGCTGTGCCAACACCTTGAGCTTGGCCAGGGAATCCCATTTCAGACTCTTGACCTCCAGAACTCTTAGATAATAAATTTGTGAGGTGTTAGGCCACTGAGTTTGTGGTAATTTGTTGTAGTCACAATAGGAAACTAATTATGTCCTCCCCAAAAACATACACAAGAATGAAAAATCAATAACATTGCTTCTTTATTTTTCCCTCTAACAATATTATTTGTTGTACATTGCCTTTTAATAAAATGTGATTATTCATAACCAAAGGTAATTGCTTTAGAAGGTCTTTTAGATAATTTAGCATCCTTTTCATATTTCTTGACCTAACTAGATCAATATCAGCCAATGACTTACTAAATAGTACTTCAAATAAAATGGCATAAAGCAAGAAAAATTCCTTGGAACTGTTTGACAATTAATTAAACCGAAAACATCTTTATGGAGAAAGCTGACCTTTAATTGATTGTGTGCTTATTTTACTGTCTCTCACTGGATTGTAAATGGCATGAGGTTTGGGGAAAATGTCTGCTGTTCCCCATAGTATTTTTTGTGTCTAGCACTCTAAACTATTTGTTGGTAAAATAAGTGAATTAAACATTTAAGTCCAGTGTTTTATTTGCTCCATATCTACTCAACAAACTGTTTTCCTACTATGTGGCATTCAAACAAATGGCCTTTCTCTCTCTCTCTCTCTCTCTCTCTCTCTCACACACACACACACACACACACACATATTCTGTTTCACTATTTTCTGAATACAACTAATATTTTATCAGCTTTGAGTAATTGTTCAAAAATTACATCATTAAAGTGAATTACATGTTTCTGAAAGCAGTAAGCAGAAAAGATGATTAGTACACATTAGCCTAAAATCAAATGAAATGTGAAAGTGACCAATATTTTGGTGCCTAGGGATCATGTCCAACAGAGTCCTGAAAGTCAGCAGACAGTCTCAGGGCCTGCTCATAAAACTCCAGGGCTTCATTCATTTTTCCTTTCGATTTGTAGACAAACGCAAGGAGGCTCAAGCCTTCCAGGTCTGATGCATTTCTCCCAAGTTTCCTTAAAGCCAATTTCTCCAAAGAATTGATACTTTTATCCCTAATATATGATGCCTTTTCTATTTTTATTGCCTTTAAGTAATGTTTAATTGCATCGACTTCAGATTTCTTTTGAAATTCCTGAAACTGGCCATAGTGGAAATGTATCTTTTGCAGAGTTTCTTCTTCAACTGGTTTCGTGCATAACAGTTTTTGATAAATGTCTTCAGCTTTTCTGTGATTGCCTACTTCTGAATACATACTTGCCAGGTGTATATAAGCAATATCAAATGAAGGCTTTTGTTCAACAGCAAATTCAAAATGAAATATGGCTAATCTTATCATTCTGTCCACATTTTCTCTATCCTGCCCTCTAGGCTGCCACTTTGCAGCTTTCTTTATTTGGATCATTTGGTTCCTGTAGCAAAGCCCCATCTGGTGATGCAGGAAGGCAGAGGTGGGTGTTGCCTGTAAGGCCGTTTTTAAGAGTTGTAGAGCTTTATCCAGAGAGCCTTTTCTTCGGTAAAACTTGGCCGCATATCGAAAGACATAAGTCTGTGAGGATATGTTGGTCAGAGCTTCTTCAATGTACTTTTCTCCTTCAGCTTCTTGTCCCACATCTTGAAGCTTCAGGGCAAAGAGAACCTTAATATATGCATCTTCTGGATTTAGCCGGACGGCCTGCCTTAGGGGGTGCAGAGTTGAGGTGTTAAAGCCATCCAGGCGATAGGTGATGATTGCATACCCAGTGCTGAATTCAGCATTTTCAGGGTCCGCTTCCAGAGCCTTTTCAAAGCAGGCCTTGGCCCGTTCGTAATTCTTTTTTCCACACTTCAGCAAGGCCCATCCTTCCTCACAGTCCATCTCAGGACACTCCATTCTATAGCGGAAAGGACTTGCCAACTTCTCGCAAGTGCTCTCCACCTTATCCAGGTAAGTCTGGGCTTCTGCCTTTTTTTTTTTTTTTTGTCTTTTTTCGTGTCCGGCAATGGATCGCAACGCTCAGTGTCGTGCCTGTACCGGACCAGGACCAGCAACGGGATCGCAACCCTCGGTGCTGCGCTCGCACTTCGCTCAGCCAGTGAGCGGGAACTGGTCTGTATGTGGGATCCAAACCCTCGGCGGGAGCGCTGCCGTGCTCCCAAGTGGCACATTGTAGCAGTGCGCCACCTGGCTGGCCCAGAGTACCTGGATTTTTAAGATACGCACGGACTGTGATTGCAGTTTGCTTGGCCCCATTCGCTGACTCTGGCACTTTCTAGCCAAATAACCAGGCTGTGCTTCAGAGTCCCATTTGTAAAATGGAAATGGCAATAGTACTTATCACACGGGGCTTGGAGAGGATTAATAAGCCCATATATATAAAGCAGTGAGAGCATGTTATGTGCTACATAAGAGTTTTCTATTTTACTATTAATATAAATAGGACAGAGACCAGTTAAAAATGCAGAGCCTTAGGAAGCATTGTTGACTTGAAGACCCTCATCTGCATATATGCAATAAATTAAGACCACCTAAGAAAGATAATATTTGACCAAAGTTTTTTTTTTCTCACTTGTTATTTGGAAATAATTATAGATTCACAGAATTTTGCAAAGACAATACAAAGATCCAGTGTATCCTTCGTCCATTTTCTCCCAATGATTATTTCTTACATAGCTATAGTACAATATCAAAATTAGGAAATTGACATTTGTTCAACAATGTGTGTATATAATTCTATGTAATTTGTTCACATGGGTATACCTATGGAACCATCACCTCCATCGATATAGAGAACTACTCTACCACCACCACATCTTCCTCATGCTATTCCTTTATAATTATACCTGTCACCTCCTCACCTGCACCCCGAAAACATCCCTCTTCCTTCTAAACCACTAATTTGCTTTTCTTCTCTGTAATTTTGTCATTTCAAGAATGTCATATAAATGGAGAATGTCAAACAAAAGGAGAGTTCAATACATGAAAATCAACTAACATAATATACCACATTAACAGAATAAAGGGAAAAAAATCTCATGATCATTTCAATTGATACAGAAAAAATTCTGACAAAATTCATACTTTTTAATTATAAAACAATCAACAAACTGTCTTCCCAGGTGGTAGCACACCCAGGCATAGTTGCCCCAGGTCACCAGACTTCTCATGTCCGATTGGTTGGCATGATCTCGCTGGATTAAGTCTTCGGCTTCTTTCAAGCTCTCCAAGGATTTCTCATTCTGGCCTTTCAGGTGCTTCACATAGGCCAGCAGGTTGTGTATTCCCACATTGTACTTGGTGTCTAGGAACTCAATCTCTTCCAAGACCCTGTTTTCTAAATCAGGCATTGCACTGTCTTCAATTAGCAGCCCCCAGGTAAAGTGACATCTCAATTCCTTCAGCCTATCTTCAACCTGATCGTCATCAGCATTCTTACTGTAAAAACAAAAGAAGTTTTTATTTGTGAAATGAAGAACAGCCAAAAGAAAAAGCCAGATAAAACACCTTGTATTTTAGTTTTTATTCTTGAAAGGAACACACTTACTTTTATTTTCTTTAGAGTACCTGGATTTTTTTTTTTTTTTTTTGTCTTTTTTCGTGTCCGGCAATGGATCGCAACGCTCAGTGTCGTGCC